TGTGTGTGTGTGTGTGTGTGTGTGTGTCTCTGCATGTGCGTGCATGTGTTCAGAGGGTACAGACTACGATTGTTCTGCCTGGGTGTTAGCTTTCGGAGCAGGAAGTGCACGTTCAGGTCAGGGGGGATCGAGGCACGCTCAGTCTGGCCACATCTGTTCAAATACCAGAGACCCTCAAAGTCACACAGGAAGTATGTGTGAGTGTGTGCATGTGTGTGTGTCGTGCTACAGAAGCTGCTCTTTGTGAGCACACTTTATAAAAATATTTGACCTTTTTGCTGCCTATAGCATGTTACCACAATAAGTAACAGAGGAACATTTTTTATGTACTTGTAATGTTGCTGCAAAAGGGCACTGAGGCTTAATGTTGCTGAAACATGACTGTGTTACACATAGTTTAGCCCTCAGACATTGTAATCATAATTCTAACTTTATATCTTTATGACCAGGACTCTCCATTTAGAACCTTTTAGAGCAAAAAATAGTGACAAAAGACCCAAATTAAGACAAAAATGACTATATATTGTTATCTATTAAATACTGATATATGTGGTGAATGGTTTTTGTAGGACAAAATAATATTAAAGTGGCTTGTTACCACTTAGAATAACATTTGGAAACACTCACAACTGTTTTATCGTCATGGCTTTGATAGATCATTAAGCAATAATTAAATGCATTTCGTGTCACTGTATCTTTAAATTGTATCTTCATATCTGTAGTGTTATGTTACTGATTGCTGTATATTTATTTACCCTGATTAAGTAAAGGCCCAACTAGAGTTGAAAAACAGCAAAAGCTATTAACTCTCTTTGCTATACTTTCATTTCCTGCTTTTTCTTGGAACAATATCATTTTGATCAGCCTTATATAATTAGAACATGTTCAGTTTCAGATTTTGTCAATAAAGTTCTTGATGATGGTTAAGAAAAGTGCAGGGGCGCTGGTGGCCCAGTGGTTAGTGTGCGCCCCATGTACGGAGGCTGTCTTCCTCAAAGCGGGCTGCTAAGGTTCAAATCCGACCTGTGGCTCCTCTCCCGCATGTCATTCCCCCCTCTCTCTCTCTATCCCTGATTTCCAACTCTATCCACTGCCCTTTCTCTACAATAAAGGCATAAAACACCCAAAAATATATCTTTAAAAAAAAGAAAAAAATAAGTACAAATGGGCAGATTGTGCCCTAATGTACGGAGGCCATACAGTAGTCCTCCAAGCAAGCGGCACAGATTTGAATATAACATGTGGCACCTTTCACATATGTCTATCATCCTATCAGAGAAAGGCATAAAAATAAATTAAACAGGTGCAAACAATGGATTTTTTTCCAAAATAAATGCGATCACATGACTTGCTTCTGAGAGACGACTTGCACAGCCACATGAATTAAGTCTTAACATCAGTTTTGGTTTGAAAAGCCCAAGATTTGACCTAATACCATCATTTTGCTAATAGCGGCTTTATTTCTGTCTTTGAAAAATGTAGAGTCCTTTACCTTGAAACTACATTCTGCACTGGGACTGACCTTTGCCTCAAACATACTTTTTTAAGTCTCTAGTTTGAGGATTGTCATTTCCCATAACGCAACTGTGTTTTTTAATTAGTCCCTCTCTGCTTGGTTAACACCCAGGTTTTCAAATCCACTACTCTGGACTGAAACAGAGGCTATCTGTCATAGGTCTGTAGTCTCTAAGCCAAGCTAACCTTGATTACATCATGATGACATCAGACGGGTTATAGACTTTGGAAGTCTCTCTTACAGAGAACAGAGGACATTTTACAGATGTTTTCACAAGCTAAGTGGAACTCCCCGTGATAAATAAACTGAGCTTCCCTGCTCAATTTTGTCATTGAGAGCATGTAAAAAGGATCTGGAAAGCAGATAAAACTAAACAAAAAAATACCGGTTATACTCTCAGTAAGCTACTATTTAAATTAACATTTTATTATGTATACAGCAATGTCTGTGTGTAAAGACCATTTTATTAGGTGTGATCCTAGTCATGAAGTAAGTCTGGCATCCTGTGTGTTTATGTTTTACTGCCTTTAAAAAAAAAAAAAAATTAGGTAGAATCCGATCTTTGTACCTGCATCAGAAAAACATTTCCAACTCTACCAAGAATTAGAAAAGTTTTTTACTTCATCAGAATTGGTTCTATAATGCTTTTAACATAAACAGATGCAGACAGCCACACAGACTGACTCATGGGTTCTTGTAATGGCAATAAAAACTGTCTGCTCCAAACACACCCTCTTGATTAAAATGTAGTTTACTAGTCTGAGGAAACAGGAAAAACGGGGTGAAGTTAAGAGGAGAGGAAAGAGGAGAGGGTTAGAGTTAGGAAAGACAGACGAAGGTGATAAGAGGCTGTACAGTATAGGGACTGAATGAAAGGAAAATGGGCCATGGAGGAAAGAAGAAGTAAATGAGTCAGTGACTGCTCACATGTGTTGCCTGCAATCAGCATCCTACAAGAGAAGTGAGGAGATGAAAGGAAAGGATGACGACTCGAGCAGTTGTTAAGGCAACAGCTATCCAAACTAATGGAGGGTGAAGTTTGAACAAAGAGAAGAAGAAGAGATGAAAGAGGCCCTTACATGGGGAGGTGAATTGATATAACATGATAAGAGAAGGTTGGAAAAACATGAAGAGACATGGAGGAATGAAGAGGACAGGACAAGGACGGCCTTTGAGATCTAAAGATTCATTGTAGAAATATTCTGTCACCACTTTTTCAGACAAAAAAAACCAAGAGGTCCACAAATAGAAAATGAAACAAAAGCTGAGTGAGTTTTCTTTTCTCCACCCTTGTGTGCCACGTTTACAGGACAATCCATCTATTCTTGGGAAAGAAAATCTGTGACAGCCAGACGGGAGCCAGGGAGAGACCAAACCCTCTGGTAAAAGCTGAAATAAACTTGTAAACAACAGGGAAAGAAACAGAGGAAAATGGTTCATTAGTATCGTGTGCACAAAGTTTGGACCCCTTGCTTTTAATGTTATGTTATATTATGTCATGGAGAGGTCCCAGAGGGGTTGAGTTACATCATTGTGAAGGTCAACCAAAGCCTTTGTTGCTTTCCAATTTTTCAATTTGCCTGATTAGCAGACGCTCTAGAAGTCAAGCTCTGTCAAAATTTGAAATAATATTATTTTCAACTGTGAGCCAAAATCCTCAGGAAGATGTTCTGAGGGAATTGTTCAACAGAAACCATTTTGATGAAGTGAGGCCAGCAGCTGAAACTGTGTCCGGCGGGACAGTAAGACTCAGAGTACCAGATTATTTTGTGCATGCAGAGCTAATTACTCATAGTAATCGTTCACTTTTATTGACAGACCGGACACAATACTTGAAAACAAATTGGTGTAAAGTTGAAGTGTAATGACTGTGGGTGGATTTCACCACCACAGAACCCCTGGATGGGGTTTCCAGGGTGCCTTAGGACTGTGCCTGACACAGAAGGAGCAAACTGAGAGCCTGAATCAATCTCAGTTAGGTAAGACCAGCAGGTGACTCTGTGTCCATCGGGAAGATAAGACTACGTTGAAGACTTCAGAGCAATATGACACTGAAAAGCGCACAGAGCAAATAAAGTCATCATTATAAATTTGAGGTTATTTATATATATTTTTTGTTCACTTAACGTCATATTTGTATATTTCTTATTAATCTTATTTTTTATTTTTTATATTTTCAAATGGTATTTTCTCTGTGATTGTTAGTGGGTTGTTTTCTGATTTTAATTTTTTTATGTTAAGGTTTCCTTATTCTCTTTGTCATGATGCTTTCAATATCTTGTGTGAAGCACTTTGAATGGCCTTGTTGCTGAAATATGTTACAAGAATAAACTTGACTTGACTTGACAAAGAAAACATCTGGAACCCCTATACCCAGGAGACAACGCTCCCATGTGAAATCACAAAAGACATACTGACATTTGTATTGTGTCATGATAAAACAAATACTTTTTGACTTATTGAAAATTATTAAAGGAATTACAGGCTCTATACTTTTGTCTGGTAAAGGTATATACATGTGAATCAAATCAGGAATCCAAAAACAGTATTACTTTTTGCAGTAAACTCAAATTAATATCATATAAAACATATTTAAAGTAAAGCAATGATTACTTAAAATAATGTTTTAAGAGATCATTTCATGTTATTTCTTAAGAGATTTTCCTGTCATCACACCAGACAAAAATCCAAATTAAATAGTTTATAACTCATAGGTGCTGAGATAAAAATTCCTCAATATCGACTCTTAGCAACAAGCCAAATACTGGCCTAACTACGACACCTAGTGGATGCTAAAGGAACACTACATCCTTCAATTTCTCTCTTCAATACGTCTTAAGGTAATTTCTTGCCCAAACTAAAACTATGACCAAATAAACAACACTGAGATTATCTGGAATAGCTTGGGGAATACTTTAGTAATCTAGAGCAGAGGCTCCAATTGTCACCATGAGAGCTTTTGCCACCCAGGGGTGCTAGGAACCCATGATGTGAACCAGAGAAAAATCTCCTTTTCTTATAAGTCAGGTGAAAGATGTCATCTAATTTGCAAATTAATTGCAAGTTTTCTCATTATTGTCAAAAAAGAAATCTAAGAAACACAGCAAAATAAAAGTTAATCATATTTACTGATGCAGACCTTCAAAAAGATTTTCAAGTATTAAATTATCAGTTCCCCAGTTTTTAATAATACTGTACATTAAATATTCTTTTGTGATTTTTGTACAAAACAAAAAGCAAAATGATAATATATAAAAGCTCATATTCAATGTCTTGTTACAGCCAACTAGAAAGAACACATGCCATTGACATTTTTTCAACATCATGTAGATGAGTCCATGTTTTCAGGTTAGTCCTGTGTACTGTTGTGTGTCTCTGTGCTGCTGTCTTCTGTGTGTGAACACACACTCTGCTGTGTTTCCTCCTCTAACCTCCTCTTGATAGTCAGCTCTCTCTCAGCCTCCTCAACACATGGAGCTTTGACCTACTGGATGTGGAGTTTCCCGTCTGGAGCCAGGTAGCAGGTGACAGCTTCAGGGTTCAGGCCTTCAGGCAGATCAAACTCCTGTCTGAACTCCTGGAGTGTGTAAGAGGAGCAGCCTTTCCCGTCCTCCTGCTTCTTCTCTGTCTTCCCACTGACTCTCAGCTTCTTGCCCACCTGTCTGACAGACAGCTCCTCTGGGGAAAAGCCTTCAGTGTCCAGAGTCAGGCCAAAGTGTTCTCCCTCTTTGTCCAGCTGGTAGGAGACTGGTTTTATGACCACACTGGTTTGAAAAGGCTCTGTCTCCTCCAGGATGTTGTGTTGAAGTTTGTCCATCAGCTTCAGCCTGCTGTGGAGCTCCTGTATGTTTCTCTGCAGTGGATCCTACTGGTAGAACAGAGGTTTGACCTCTGGACACAGACTGCCAACAGACCAGTAAGAGTCCATGAATGGACTGAGGGCAGACTGGAGTCCATGAGTGCACAGCATCTTCAGTGAGTTGAGTGAGTGTCTTGCCCAAGGACATATCGGACATGTTGCTGCAGGAGCTGGGGATTGAACCCCCAACCTTCCAGTTGAGAGACGGCCAGTGTTCATCATTTAACACTTGTATAAAACACAAATAACTCCACAGAGTAACAACATCATGTAGATGAGTCCATGTTTTCAGGTTAGTCCTGTGTACTGCTGTGTGTCTCTGTTATGTACACGTAGAAGTGCATGTAGAAGCTGATGTACATGTCCAAGTGGATGGTTTTGTATGTTGGTCAATGAATGTGCATTGCTATCAGATATCGGCCTATATTTACACATAAACATTCACTTATCTGCGCACTTAACAGGCTACATACACAACGGCATAGACACAAACATGTACAAAGATTAAGAGTCCATCCGCCCACCATACTGAATACGAAACAGGGATAGTGTCGTGCAGCCAACAGGTGGCGCTGTTCTCCATTTATCTGCTCTCAGACTGACCTCACCTTCATCACAGACATGTCTCGTTTTTCAAAACAACAAATAAATAAATGTAAATAAATAATATCATCAGAATCAATACAGCCTTAATCTACTAATTTTAAAATTGTATTTTTCAATTGAAATGTGTAATTGTAATATTTGCAATCTAGTTGTTCAGTAACCATGGGATGGAATTGATGGACTTGACAGGCAAGTTCGGTCTTCATCACCACCCGCCCCACGCGACTCAGACTGAGTTCACATCATAGAGCACTTGACAGCACTCTGACATGCCATTAAAACAGAGATGTTCAACAAAATATATAACCAACAGCAACAGCCCTCTGACTCATGGGGGGGAAAACAGTCTCGTAATGAACACAAGCCAACAAACCATTCTACTGTAAATCACACATTACAAATACTAACAAACACAACACCTGGTTTTTAAAGCATTAAACAACTGAATATCTTCAGTTTATCGAGTACCACAAAGCATGCTGGGAAGTGAGAGAACGTTGTACAGTACAAGTGTCCAAGAAAAAAACCATAGCCTGTAAAAATAATGGACGGGACAAGGCCCCCGGTCTATAGTGAAGCTTTTATTTTTAGAGCTCCCCCTACTGACTGGCTGCAGCATAGGCCATAAACCCCGCTTCCTCAATGATAACAGATGGGATGTGGGTCAAACTGTAAAGCTAAAATACTCGTCACATATTTTTTTTCCAAACCTAAACTCTGCTGTGATCATTAGTTATTATCACCCTACATTGTGTTCAGGTGCTCATTTTTCTGTGAAGTCTGTTTTAAATAAGTTATTTGAGGTTGAAAAATGGGATTTTACGTCATATTTGACGATGATTGACAGCCGCCGATCTTGCGTAGCTCTCTTTGTGAATAGCAAAAGTTACGTAGTGAAGGAAAGCCGAGACGCCATTGAATTTTTCCGTTCAGTTTTTTCGTCTTTTTTGAGCTGGAAAATGAGTTGTTCTGCAGGAAACTGTTCTAACCGACCTGTGGGAGATAAGGGATCTTTGCAGCTTTTTCGGTAAGTAAAAAAGTGATTTATGTGTCATTGGTTAAAGTCGTTATCTAGCGAGCTAATACATAAGCAGTCTAAGGTTAGCTGAAATGTTGTAAAGCTAGGTTACTTATCCGGCATGATTTATCTTTTTATTTTATTTTATTAAATGAGCAAACCTAATAACTGACATGCTATGTTTCTTGATATTGTTATGTCGTTATTGTGATTGAAATTATATTTAAAACCAAGAATCGTAATAAAAATCCGCTCATAGATGCGGTTCATTGACTGTACAGTTATTTTACAGCAAAAATAAATATGTCTGGTAAAGTCTCAAAAGTATGTAGGGCAAAAACAAAGTCACGTAATTGTAATCTGGCCTGCATCATTACTAATGTGAACATGTTTACAGTCTGAGTGATAAGTGGGCCATAGCGAGAGTAACAGGTTTTACTTTCATCGTGCAGGCTGAAATTCATAGTACTATATACGAGGGTAGAATATTTCTCTATGTATCCAGATAAAACTAAAGGTAAGATGTGATTTAATATAACTGTTACTGATTTAAGAGACTAACCGAAACGTGAACGCAAACATCAACAACCGGCGGTGGTGTAATGTAATATTAACCGAGCATCATGCTGCTTAAACGTGATAAATATTCTGCATTGTCTTCCACACACACCAATTCAACAGTCACAAGTTGATCATATTGTAAATTTAATGACGCTCATTGAGAATTTGTACTAAAAATTGACAAAACTTGACAAATATTGAGGTGATTGTGACTGTGTATCTGTATTTATCGCCTTTGAAAGGAAGGTGTTAATGCAGGAGACCAGTGTTACACACAACATGCTGCTGTTATTGTAGTTAGGAGGAGAGATAGGCACAATAAAAGAAGACATAAAGATCGCGTTTTTCCCCACACATGTTAATATGTTTTAAATGTCATGCATTTATTTTTGATTTCGCTTCAATAATCGTTAAAGAAGAGAAACACCAGGATTAAACTACAGGCTATTGTTGCCTTTTTATATCCAAAGAAAACTGAACATCCACAGCCTCTGCATTCAAAACAATTTCAACATTGACATTTATGTCGTCCTATTTCCCTCTTTTCACCAACATTATATTCTAAACTGGGGATTTCCTTTTTCTCTGGTCGCTCGTCTCTCCCCCAGCTCGCCCATCTCCTCCCTCTCTGTAGGACGCTTTGATTGAGGCACCTCACCAATAAAATACTATTTTATATTTTATAAGCAGTTTTGCCACCACACTGTACTTTTACTCTCCAAAGGCATATGAGTATGTGCGTGACAACTTTAACAAAGCTTTACCACACAGTCACACCATCCACACAGCTGATCCAGGATTTACTGTAGCATCTTTTACAGCACTAAAAGGTCATGTACAGGCAAACAGAGAGAAGGGAAAAGAAACAATCTGTGATCTCAAATAACAAAGCAGTCTCAAATCTTTTTGAGGAATTACAGCTACATTTTTTTTACTTTGCATACAGTACATCCTCTGATAAATAAAGTGAAGTACTTTGATTGTATTTCTGTGGTGTTCCTGTAGGTGACCATGATGCAGCCAGACTGAAGCAGCAGGTTGTGAAGGTGGACGCCATCATCTTGTCTTTGCAGTGCTGATTCTGAAGAGAACGCCTTCACATAGGACTCAAAGGTAAAATGATCTCTCATATGATTGGACCGTGTTATTTTAACCGCTAACGGCATCAAAGTAATTTTAGTAACAATTTATAATCCTTCTTAAAATGTAAGGAAGACTAGCAGAAGATTTTAACAGCCTCTATGGTTCTGCAAGAAGCCTAGTTCATGTTTAAATTGTTCTTCTTTCTGGCTTCAAGGAAATCAATGCCCAAAGGAAACAGCAGTCCAGACTCTGATTCCAGCTCCGGTGAGGTTCAGCACACAAATTGGCTGTCTGATTATATGAGAATGTTTAAGATTAGTTTAATTCATCAGGCTGGCCCATGTGATGACAGTTTGAAATAATCTTCAATAGAAAGTGGCAGGAACACTTTTGTCTTAAAACATAAATTCATAAAGCTGATCATATCATTGAATTCATCATGTCTTATTATATATTTTGTTTTTCCTCATAAATAGTTCTCCTGTCTTAAAAACAAACTTTAGAACCTGAAGCTTAGCAGAACCTGAGGAGAGATCTGATTTCAGGTCTGAGGCATAAACATCACAGTAAAATTCATTATACTTTACATTTAACTCCATGATTGTTTTTCTTTATTACAGAAGATGCTCTCAGATTCAGATCCATCAGCAACTCCTGACAACATGGAGGACTCGTCCCCTGATTGTTTCCTGTCCTCTCTCGATGGTCTTCTTCTCTTCAGTTATTAACTTTTGAAAACAGCAGCACAAAATGCCAGACTGTTTGACAAGTCTGTGATTGAATAAATTGAAATGGAATCTCATGCGTATCTTGCTATGCTTATTGGCTTTAAATGTTTAATATTAAATAAGTTTGAAGGCCATTTATCTCAGACGAGACCGGCTGTGACAAGCTGAGCTCGTCTGTTAGCTTTGCTGTTGTCTTAGCTGTTGATGGTCAACAAGAAATTAATGTCAGTTCAAGGCCTTTTCAAATGTGAACTATAAACTTAACTGCTAAATGATTTTACTGTGACCAACACTTTGTTGTACTCCAGTTAATCAGAAACAGTCATATCAGATTTTAAAAAAGTTTATTTAAACATTTTATGAAAAGAAATCTTCAATAAACAACCCCTGGCTTCATTAACCATGTGAAAAATAAGTAAGGGAGACCATCAGGTTGAATTGCTGGAACATAGGAGAAAGTATAAAAAATAATTTAACAAAGAAATCCAAACAAAAATCTAATAAAGTATAGAGAACCTGGGTGACTGTTTGACTGTTAAAATATGATGGAAAAGCAAATCCAACACAACCCTCCAGCATCTGGCCTTTCAAACACAGGGCAACATCTTGTTAAGAAAAATAAATTAAATATTGACCTGGATCTTTGTGTTTTATCTGAGGATGACTATGGTAGCCTTCTCACTGTTCACTGTCACAAAGCACCAGACTCTGTCCACCTTCTTCAGACGTCGATCAGCTCCTCTGGGTGATGGCAGAGAGGACTCTTCATCTGGGAGAGATGCTGGTGTAAGGTCATTTCTACCACAGTGGATGAGCAGGGCATCAGGCACAGCTCTTAGTCCAAGCACAGGTGAAAAGAGGAGGAGGTTCCTTCAAACTATGTGACCCCAGCCTGACCTCTGTAACAGGTGTGCAGACGAAGATTGAAATTAGTCATTTTTAGGTTCTGTTGATTGTAAAATGGAAAAGAAAACATCAACTTTCTATTTAACATTTAGCTGGTGTATGACTCTGTGATTTTTATTTTAGAAGACTGTATTGTTAACAATAGATATAAACTTTTAACAGATGATTTTAACTTACACTTCACCTCTGTGGAAGATGTCAGACCAGCT